ATAATTTAAATTTATTAAAATAATTATGTAAAACTTTAAAACAACTAAATTTTTAGTTTGTTTATTATCAGCTCTATTTTGAGAACTTTTTAATATACAAACTTAATATATAATTATTAAAATAATTATGTAAAACTTTAAAACAACTAATTTTTTAGTTTGTTAATTGTCAGCTCTATTTTGAGATCCTTTTAATGCATAAACTTAATGTATAATTTTAATTTATTAAAATAATTATGTAAAACTTTAAAACAACTAAATTTTTGGTTTGTTTATTGTCAGCTCTATTTTGAGCACTTTTTAATGAATAAACTAAAAATATATTTTATTAAATTATGTAAAACTTTATTTTGAAAGTTCAAAACTAAATCAAATTTTTTATTTGTTTCTCTTTTTTAAATATCTTTTTTCTAATAGGGCGAAATTATGTTTTGATGTGCTGCTTAGATTTATTGTCATTTGATTCTATAAGCAATAATGGGATGACAGATTTTCTAAAGGTTTAAAATTTAAATAAAATGATTATTAAAAAATAAATTGCCTAAAAATAGAAATATAAGATAATTGATTCCTCATCAGAATTGCCTAATAGGACAATTATTATTCGGGAGCACTTGATGATGTTTATTGTTCTAAAAGGGCACATGTTTTAAACCTGATTGATGCTGGTCCAAAATTCTGTTCCATTACTTTTGATTTATGGACCGATCATTTCAAGCGGCGAAATTATATTACATTTAATCTTCATCATTTAGATAAAAATTTTGATTTAAAATATTTTACCCTGGCAACCCGAAATGTGACTCAAAAGCATACTGGGGAAACCATATTATCGGAGATTGATGGTATCGAAGAGGAGTTTTATTTAAAAGCCAAAATAATACAAATGGTAACTGATGCAGGGGAAAATGTCAGAAGCGTCAGATTGGGGGATTATGAGCATCATTTATGCTTAGGCCATGGACTACATAATTTGGTTACAGTTGATGGCATAAAAAAAGTTGGGAGAATTGATAATCTTAAAAAAATTAGAGAAATTATTTCAGCCCTCAGATATCGAGTAGCTGATTTGGAATGTGAAATTGAAGATGAGCATCGTAAATGTCTCCAGTCAATTTATGAGACAGGTCATATCTTGGATATCGATGATTCTGATCCATACCTTGATGACCATTTTGATAACGAAGCGGATAATAGAAATGTCATTACACCAACCAATCTATATAAAAACGTTAAAATTAAATTGCCCTAACCGCTGGCACAGCATATTAATTATGCTAGAAAGTGTTCGTAGCGTGAACAAAATTGCAATTTTTAACAAGACATTTAAAACTTTTAGAAAATGATTAAAATGCACAAAGTGAAATCCATGTTGAAGATAATGGGGAGACTTCCAGTTCTTATATCGCCAAAATAGCTCGTAAACATTATAACAATATAAATAATTTAGAACAAGAATGCCATATTTTGCTAAGCCAAATAATATCCCAGAAGAGGATGCATTAACCTTTTGGAAGAAAAAGCAACTGAAACTTCCTAGGCTTGCTAATTTAGCTAGGAAGGTTCTTTGTATACCTGCAACCAGTACACCCAGCGAAAGAATTTTTTACATTGCTGGATTAATACTCAATGCAAAAAGGACTTCTTTATGTCCCACCAATCTTGATAAAATTCTATTTATTCATGATAATTATAATTTAGCTAAATCTGAATTCTGATTTATTATATTTCTTACTTAATATTTTGTTTGCATTCCAAATATATATTTGTTATAATAAAAATCAATAGAATATTACTAATATGTGTTGTTTATGTGACTCTGTTCTGAGTGAAAATGCAATTCCTTAGTCTATTTCTGAGAATGAGAAAATACATGAATTTAAATTGAAGTGAGACAGGAAATAATTTAAGAAATAAACTATGTTAACAATGTGTTATAAAAGAGCGCCAAATTATAAAAAAATGTAATACATTGATTTATAAATTAAAATATCGCGCCGCCGCCGCCGACAATCTAGTAGGCGGCGGCGAAATCGACGCGCCGCCGAACGCCGATAAAAAATTTTAAAAAAACCTCCGCCGTCAATTGAGACATCGGCGCACAGGTCTAGGCACTACTAACAATTTTTTAAATTTAGTAAATAATGACATAAATTAAATAAAACTTAACAACTATATGGCTCCATGTCAATTCAGCGAAACCTTTATCGCGAATCCACATTAGTGAACACTATTCCACGAAGACAATACTGCGAAAATTTTAAAGTAAATATATTACAGCGAAACTTTTATCAAGAGTCATTATAGGAAAACCTAATTCGCGTAGACAATATAGCGAAATTATTAAATATCAGAGATTAATTTGTGAAAATTGCCAATGGGCCATTCCACGTCAAATCGATCACGATTCGGCCGACTCCTTTTAAAATTGTTAAAAATTTTTGGAATTATTTAGATAGGTAAAAGAATGAGAAAGCCGTTTATTTTAGCTCGCTAGCACACCTGGTTCTCGAGATATAGGGGCTCAAAGGTACAAAAAAGAGCCACTTTGGAATCTGTAAAATTTTTAAAATGCTTATATCTCAAAAACTATTTATAGTAAAAATATTATAATATATCATTTTGTAGGTAAAAAAAATTCTCTAATGGGCTAACAAAGAATAATAAATATTGGCGCCATTATAGGCTTTTAAGATCCGGTTTGCCTAAATTGCTTTACCTGTATTTTTAAGCAAAATAGTGAGTTTATTTTCAAATTTTTTTTGTTTTTTATTTAGACCTAAATATATATACAATATCAAAACCAAAAATTGACAAAAAAATAGATGGCGCTTTATGAAATTACGGATTATGGTTAAAATTTTGCTGCTAACTTATCAATAACCAGATATTTTCACTTTTAATATTAAAAAATTTTATTTTTCTATTAAATATACTAATTAACTGAGGAGCAGAGTGGGCATATGCCCATTAGACACTTAATAATGTAACAAATTTCCAATAATAAATATCTTTCATATAATTTTTTTAATTTTTAAGGTATCTACAATTTCATCGAATTTTTCATCATTTGATGAAGAAAGATAATGGTATAAAATCAGTCGTTAAAACTTTTTTACTTTAGATATTTTTTTCTTCGAATATTTCTTCTCACATACGCGTTTTCTTTTAATGAGAGACTCCCCATTTGATTGTAGGGATATATTAATGTTATCAATAGCCTCTTGATTAATTATATGAAGGGGAGAATCAATATCTACATTGTCATTTGAAGTATAAGGAATTTTTGATAATTTTTGTCGCCATGAAGAGCATATTAACATATCTAAATTGAATGGTAAATTTTTTTGGGTCATCCAGGGTAGAATCTTTCTTAGATTCTCGCGATAATAAGCATGTCTCTGTAGATTAAATGGGTTGCAACATTTTAATATTTGGTACGTCCATCTGTGATATAGAATAAAATTTTATTTTGCACTCTCCAAATCCAGATTGTTATTTGTAGACAAACGATAAAATTAATCTGAACGGACAGGTTAAAATTATTTCTCAGAAAGAGAGATCGTTTTAAACAATTTATTTTGTAAAATATAATCGAATATATGCCTACTGCAACTGTTATATATTATCGAGCTAATAAGTCATTCGCTCGCTCTAGTAGCAAAGTAGAGATTTAAATAATGTAAAACATTTTAATGATAGTGGGAGGGGGGGGGGGCAGAACTGGAAAATTTTATCACAATTCTTATAAACGTATCAATATTTTCATTTTTCTTAAGAATAATATTTTTCAATCATTAGCGCCATCTACTTTTTTCTTCAATTTTTGGTAAAAATGTATATTATGGATACATCGTATATATATTTATAAAAGGTGTCTAAATAAAAAGCAAAAAAAAATAACAAACTCACTATTTTGCTTAAAAATACAGGTAAAGCATTTTAGGTAAACCGGATGTTAAAAGTCTATAATGGCGCCAATATTTATTATTCTTTGTTAGCCCATTAGAGAATTTCTTTACCTACAAAATGATATATTATAATTTTTTTACTATATGAGATATAAGCATTTTAAAAATTTTACAGATTCCAAAGTGGCTCTTTTTTGTACCTTTGAGCCCCTATATCTCAAGAACCAGGTGTGCTAGAGAGCTAAAATAAACGGCTTTCTTATTTTTTTACCTCTCTAAATAATTCCAGAAATTTTTAACAATTTTAAAAGGGGTCGGCCGAAAAAGTGCTTTTTTTGATCGATTTGACATGGAATGGCCCCAATATATTTTATTCTGAAATATTTATTTTATGTATATTAGAATAATATTTTTAAAAAAATAGGTACAAGTTGATTCAATGATAGTTTTTAATATTCTTTTAGTCTATAAATTTATATAATGATTAATGAACTATTTTGTTTACAAAATTTATCATTGGAATAAAAAAAAATTGCTATCCTGCACTATGCTTTTCCTCGAAGTCTTACAGGGTTTCCCATGTTTCAATCGGGAAGGAGAGAAGCTCCCAAACTTTTAGAGACATTGACCCCTCCCCCTAAAGAAAATAATATATCACTGCTCCAATCTGCCTTAACAGTATGAAGACTGATAACACAGTGTACATTAATTACCCTTCAAATTTCAGTAACTGAAAGACCAATTCAGGCGTTATTTGATCGAAAGCCTATTTTTGAAAAAATTTCCAAATTTTTAAATATTAATAAATCAATTTGAAAAATAATGGCGCGTTTAATATTCATTTAATATTTTCTTTGAACATATTTGCAAAATAACATTCTAAAAATTTCAGGCCGTGCCGAAAAAAAAATCCAGACTGAGCCAAACAATCTCATATGGAGCTTAAAAATGAAAATTATTTTTAAATCAATGCCAAGCCTAAAATTTCGACCTCCAGTCTCTGATTTATTTACATTATAAAATGGTGTTCAAAGAAGAAATCTCATAATTAAGAATCACATTTTATTTCAAATTTGATTTCGACCCAAACCACATTTTAAAAAATATCGTTGTCATTTATATCTTTTTATTCGTATCAAGAGTTTGAAGATTTTGGATTAGTTTTGCGTAGTCAGGATTAATATTCCATATTCCAAGCATATATTTTAAACGTATTAGCAATATATCTTTTCCCATTTGTAGCCAACTAAATACTGGTATTATTTTTGAACCTAAAAAATAATTTAAATATTGATGACGAAATTTAACGAAAATAATGAATAAGAATTATAATTTTAAATTACCAAATTCCAATAGAAATATATAATTAGAATTTTGTATTAATATTGTTTTTTTATAATTTTTTTTCAGCCTTTATCCTATCGTATAAAATAAAACAAATAAATATGTATTGTGCGTAGAAGTAGCGTTTGACTGGTAGGAAAAATAAGTATCTTTTCCTGAGGGAAAAGGGGTCTGGATTTATTTTAATGCCTCTAACCAAATATCGATTTTATACGGTAAAAATTTAATAATTTAATATAATTTTTATCAAAATAATAAAATCATAATTTAATTATCTATCTAATCCTCTTTTCCCCTTAAATTTTAAAGGATAAGGGGAAAAAGTATCCTTATGAATTCGTAATTTTTTATTAATTATCCAATCACAAAATATGTATTTTAGGTATTTTACAAATAGCTATAAACAGTAAAAATCGAATATGCCATGCGTCGTAACCGGGAAGTTTTTTTCCATATTTATCCTTTTCGCAATTTACATTAAATATGTAGAATTTATTATTTTATATTTAATTTATATTATATTTACATTTTAACTTGTATATATGATATGTATTGGTGCTGTATAGTAATGTGTTATAAATTACTTTTTTTTAAAAAATCAGTTAACACGTCACTATTATGCAATGAATTAAATTAACGCATTCGTTTTCTCAGGTTATTCGTTACTTTATATTTTAGTCATTTTTATTTTATTATTGTTTAATTATAATAATTATATTTAAAAAATGATAAAACTAAAGAAACATATAAAACTGAGTTTTTAAAACAAATTGTGAATCTCATTTCATTCTTCTTTCAGCAAATAGTAGTGCTAGCTAGGATAATATTAATATGCGTAAAAGTTTTTTTCTTATCAAGTTCATTTTAAATTTTTTCGATCTAATTACGGGAATTTTTGGTAAAATATTTTTCCGAAGAATTAACCTCTTTGTAATTTTTTTCAGTGAGCTGGGATTTTTTCCCGGAAAACTAGGAATATCCTTAATTATTATTTTAAATTTTTAGGCTATATTCTAACTTGTTTTTTTGTTTTCTCCTAATGCATTAAAATATTTTCCTAACCTTAAATATCGTTTTTCAAATATTTTAGCAGTAAAATTCTTGGATGTAAAAATAGATAGCTATTGAAAATTTTTTTACTCTTATTTTTTAAAAAACACTTACATATCTAATTTTATTTGAAAATTAAGAGTAATCAAGTTTGGACATTGCCTTAGATATATTTTGTCTGACTAAAAGAATCCTACTTTTGAGGGATTATTAAAATGAGTAATATTATATAAATTAGATTGAGATTTAGAAAAATATATCAAAATTTTAAAGCGGCTTTACTAAAATTATATGAATAATAAGAGAATCGAGGACCTTCCCTGATTTTTTACATAATCCGGTCCAGCCTGAGAATTGAAAGAATTATTGACTTATATTTCTATTACTACTAACAATTGCAAGAATTATAAATTGACTTATATTTATATCTATTACTACTAGAAATACACAACAAGAATTTTAACGGCAATATGCGTAATCAAGACTAATATTTAAGTAATCGGTGTCATTTTAGCAGAGGTGACCGGGACTATATAGCAAGTGGAGTAAAAAGGCAAACAACTATAATATTTTCATCTTTAGGGCAAATTGTCCCAGATTTGGTCAAAAGATGAATTTCTATATATAATATCTACCATATGATCATTTAGTAGCGGGAGCTTTGTCAAAGGTATAGATCAAAAACTTTTTACATAAGTGTTTTATATTTTGAGGCAAAAATACTTCTTCGAATTTTATAAAATTTATATAACAAATCCCGGATCCACCCTTCTCTTGGAAAAAATCCGCTTTTTATTATATTTCCACATAAGATCGAATAATAAAGGCATATTGTTTGGATATAAGGTATAAATAAAAAAGCGTGGGCGAGCGGATGGGCGGGTAAAAAAAATTTCGAGAATGGGCAGGCGGGCGGACAAGTTAAAAAAATTTGAAACTATGGGCGGGCGGGTTAAGAAATTTAAACAATGGGCGGGCAGGTTAAGGAAATTTAAAATTTTTGTTCAAAAACAAACTAAAAAAAATAATTGTTTAAATGATCTATAACAATATTTCTTTTTTTATTGTACCAATCGTTTTTTTTAAGTGAAAAGCATTTACCTAACTATATGTAATAAACACAACAATAAAACTTTTTTCTTAGAATAAATAAACATTTTTGTCTGTTAAAAATTTCCTTTTATGGGAATGTATAAAACTTTTCTCTTAAAATTTCCTTTTTGGGGGTTTGCAATCTGCATTGTATTATTTTATTTTAGTAATAATTGTTTATCTTTATAATTGCCCTTTTCATTTTTATTTTATTATATAATATATAAATTTTAATAATTACATATAATATTAATTTTACATTTATATTTTTTTCATAAATATTCAATTTGATCAAATAAATTGTTTATAATTTACATTGATTATTTTTATACTTATATTAATTTCCTAAATTATAAACTTTTTGTAGAGGTGTAATGCTGAAATATTTTTATTAGATGCTTAAAAAAATGAAGAAATGTCCATAATTAAATTTTATTAGTGGGCTTGGGTTAAAAATTTTTTATAAATAATGGGCGGGCGGGAAAATTTTAGACTAATGGGCAGGTGGGTAAGGAATTTTAGACAAATGGGCGGGGCGGGAGGGTATATATTTTTTTTAAACTATGGGCGGGCGGGTTAAATTTTTTAAAACATTGGATGGGCGGGCTTTTGGTCCAAAAACCCGCCCAATGCAGACCTCTAATTCATATACCCTCCATAAAAATTAAACATCAAAATATTCAAGCAATATTATCATCAGCATTCCTAATTCAAGATCCGTTATTTGAAAAGCATACTAAGCCATTAAATGTTGTTGGACTAGTAGCAATGAATATCTTAATAACACAAAGAAGAGATGTGTATGTCGTAATTTTTAAAGGGATCATGACTATCCGGGATCTTCACGGGATTTTAAAGGGATAACTAAAAAATTAAGGTTTTTAATTAAGGAATGATAATACGGGATATCACGTTTTAATCGTGATAAAGAGGAATCTTATTTTAAAAGCGTTTTCCACGAGTTTCGTTGCGTTTATACCCTATACTAGACATATCTTATATCATAAGGCCAAAAAAACAACATTGAAAATTAAAAAACGCAACGAAACTCGTGGAAAACGCTTTAAAAATAAGATTCCTCTTTATCACGATTAAAACGTGATAATCCCGTATTATCATTCCTTAATTTATATGTCGTAATTTTTAAAGGGATCATGACTATCCGGGATCTTCACGGGATTTAAAGGGATCCCTTTAAAATTTCAATTTTTTAAAGGATAAAGAATTATACGGTATTATCACTGGGGCAGAGATCGACCTCCAGTTGAATAAATCTTTTGATTAGCTATCGAATGATACCTTATACTAGACATATCTTATATCATAAGGCCAAAAAAAACTAAATTGAAAATTAAAAACGCAACGAAACTCGTGGAAAACGCTTTTAAAATAAGATTCCTCTTTATCACGATTAAAACGTGATAATCCCGTATTATCATTCCTTAATTATCAACCCTAATTTTTTAGTTATCCCTTTAAATCCCGTGTGATCAAGGATAGTCATGATCCCTTTAAAAATTACGACATATATGCTAAAAGTTTTCTATGACGAGGGTAAACTATCATTGGTATTTATAAGTAGGGGATCATACTGTAATTACAGGGTGCTTTTACTATTTATGTCAAAGTACACATAAAAAATTCAGAGGCTAGGTCTGAATGCCAATACAGGACCGATGAAACTAAGTTTCTTCTGTGGCATGTGCAATGACATTCCTAAGAACGGTTACTAATAATGGTAAAAATATTCTCGATTATTTAATTTATATAATGGAGCACCCAGGGAGGTTGCAAGAGACAGTTCGAAGTCCCACATGTCGAATTAAACCCCTATTTCCACCGATAATCTGGAACGTGAATCAGAATACCCTATCTGACGAAGAGCGCATCAACAATCAATGAATTGTTTTTTAGTTTAGCTGGAAATAAACACCTATCAATCAGGTTAATGGAAAATATGAAATTTGAAGTGGCTTCCGACGAGACCAATCTCAAATGATGGAGTGTTCTTGGACACAGATTACAAAATCGCAGAGCTATAATACCCAAATTCTAAAAAGACTTTGCGAGGAATACCTTGATGAGGTGCGCGCACTGCCAGATTTCATATGAGTGATTGCTGTTAATATTAGATGTTAACCTATATAATAATTAGCATTAAATATTTATTTTGCATAGGTTCTTAGCTCATGTATAGGTATAGATGTTAGTTATTTGTTATACACACATTTATTTTTTATTTAAGCCTTTTGTGTTTCATATCAATGGCAAATAAATACCTTTTTCAATATCATTTATTTAAATAAATTACTAATTTTCTGAATACAAATATTTTTAAACTAAAATTTAAACCCGAGTTCAAAAAATTGTCAAACCCGAAACTGTCTATTTATCGTTTTTTGTCAAACAACCCCGATCTAAAATGGAGGGCGAACAACTCGACTATTCATTGGCGTACGCACCGGGGGGAGGGGACAAATCCCCCCCTTCCAAAGCCAAAAAATGCAGATACCGGATATATTTTTTAAAAATATTATTGTTTAATTAATTTATATTTGTTAATATTTATTCGTATCTCATATTAAATATATATTTAATTACATTTTTCTTCTAAGTTATTTTATCAATTAATTTCGATTTCAAGTTTTCCGGCGTAATATTTACTTATTATTTTCAAATTTTTAGTGGCGTAATATTTATCTACAATTTTCAAATTTCTAGTCAAATAATTATTATTTCTGAAACTTCTTGTCCAACAGGGAAAAAGAAATTGCAAGTCCAACGAGATAGAGTCTCTGCCATTAAGCAGTAACAGCTTTTAAGGAATTAGAAGAGCCAATTATTTGCTATTACTGAAATATCACAATGGCCTGAAAGAAATATTTCCTCAGAAGCAAGAAAATTATTGGATTCAATGCTTATTCCAAATTCTATTTCTCACTAGAATGTATTATTTAATTATACAACTATTTTAAGTATTACTTTTCAAAAACACGACTGACTTGATTAAGAAGATGAGAATAGCGGAGAGAATTTTATCAGAACTCAAGGAAATTAGGACTAATATTGATGAAGAATTTCATATTTTATTGTTGAGTCAAAGCAGAGCTATACGTGTTTAATATTTGTCTCCCTCGACTTGTAGCAAGGCAAGCTCATCGTTAAAACATTAATATAAGATCAGTAGAAGAGTATATCTTAAATACAGATACATTTATAACCCAAATAAATGAATTTTTAATTCATCATGCAGCACTTACTAATCTGCAAATAACTTCCACAAAATCCTTCCCAACCTTTTTTAGATGGTGATAGAAAAAAATATATTTGTTAGATTTTTATTATGAAGATGTTAAAGTATCTTATGATGTCTTACTAGCTGATAAGATTAACTATGGTTGGTATAGTCCCAAAAAATGCTATGGATGCTCTCAGGGTTGGGCAGTATCGCGGGTAATTGTATCTAAGATACAAGATACTTTTGTATCTTGTATCTTTTTTAAAATTTTGAAAAGTATCTTGTATCCAGTATCTAAGATACATATTATTTAAAAGTATTTGTATCTTAACCAACTTTGTATTCAAAAAGATACAGATACTATAAAAAAAATTTATATTGGTTAATTTAAATAGTATTAAAATTTTAAATGATATTGTTTTAAGATTTAAATGAAAAATTTAATCAAAATTTAGATATTTTAAGATATTGCTAACAATTAGAACTACCATATTTGAATCGTTTTATATCTGTCTATTTTAAAATTATGGAAGAAGAAAATAGAATAATATGTTTATCTTCGTCTTCAGATGATTCTTCAACCGAAAATTATAACAATAAATTTAAACTAAGCATACTTTATGGCAAATTTTTTGAAGTACTTCAAGATGATCATAATAAAGAAATTCATCCTGACTTTGGTATTGAATATTCTATGGAAGCTGTAGAGAATGACTTTGACATCAATGATGATGAATGTATAGAATTCGATATCATTGAAAATTTTATTTAATACTTCTAAAAATTTATTATGATATTGTAAATTTAGTAAAAAATTTTATTCAAATAAAATTATTTATTTGTTTATTTAAGGGTCTAAAGAAGCCTCAATAACATTGCCTCAACACATTCGTTGTTTATGCCATACGATAAGTCTAATTGCTACAACAGATGTCGAGAGAGCTATTAAGGATTCTCCTAACATTTCTAAAATTCATCATCCTGCAATAGCTAAATGTACTAAGCTATGGAATGCAAATAATAGGCCTAAAACTGCAAAACTTATTAAAGCAGTTTTAGGAAAACAATTAGTTACACCTTGTTGCACTAGATGGAATAGTTTGTATGATAGTCTTCATAGTTTATTAAAATTTAAGGGCGAACTTTCTAAATTATGTCAAAAATTAGAATTTCCTAAATTAAGAGATATTGAAATTCAATATTTAGAAGAATATTGCAATACAATGGCCCCATTGGCTATAGCGATTGACAAAATACAGAGTGAAATCAACTGCTATTAGGGAGAATCAGCTCCAATTTTAAATGTCGTTAAAAAAAATTAAATTTAATTCAAACCAATCTACAATTTTGCAAACCATTAGCTATTGCCATAGAAAATAATTTAAATAAAAGATTTAAAAATATATATGATTTTGATAACAATTTTAAAAGTGCATTTTTGGCAACTATTTCTCATCCCTATTTTAAAAATCGTTGGATTGATGGTGAAAAAGAAAAAAATACCTTCAGGATTTGTTATTACATGAAGTTTTAATTGTTCTTAAAAATAATATTGAAATTAATACTTCAACAAAATCTTCAATTGATGAAGATGATGATTACTTTTGCCTTAAAAGTACCACATCCAATTCTAATAATTCAATAAATGATATTGAAATAGAGGTCCTAAATTATATGAAAGATGACAGGCGGAGTATAAATATGTTAAATAGTTATAAATATATAAAAGAAATATTTATTAAATATAACACAATATTACCCTCCTCAGCCTCCGTTGAAAGATTATTTAGTTTGCTAATATGGTTAATAGACCAAATCGTCAAAGATTGAACAATAAATCATTTGAAAAATTAATAATATTAAAAAATAATGCTGATATATGATACTGATTTATTATTATTTACTAATTATATAATTATTAAATGGAATATCTCATTATCTTTTATAATAAATTTGTTATTTTTTTATAAATTTATATTATAGATAATAAAATAAAGCTTTATACATTTTGATTTTGACTATTTAAAGTTTTTTAAAAAAGTATCTTGTATCTTAGATACTTTTTTTTAAAAAAAATACAAGTATCTTGTATCTTATTGAAATTTTTCTAAAGTATCTAGTATCTTAAATACAAAATTTTATAAAGTATCTGTATCCGAATACAATTTTCTGAAAATTTGCCCAACCCTGGATGCTCTGCATTATTTCAAACACATTTTAGATTAAATTCCCAATGTATTAAAAGGGTTTATAAACTTTTCCCATTAGTAAACTAATGAGAGAACATTCTCTTTTTTAAGAAGAATAACAGAGGCCTGCAGAAGTACCATTTGCAGGGCACGGCCCGGATTTTTTTTTAAAAATTTTCAGGCCCGGCTCGGCTTTATTTAAAAACAATTTTAGGCCCGACTCGGCTTTTTTTAATAAATTTTCAGGCCCGGCTCGGCTTTTTTAAAAATAAAATATATTTATTTTTGATCTTTATAGCTAATAACGATTTCAAATATAGGCTATTTTAATAAATATAGCCCGGATTGGGTGTTTTTTTAAAATAATTCAGGCCCGGCCTGGGTGTTTTTTTTTAAAAAATTTGGGCCCGGGTATATTTTAAAAAATAAAAATATTGTCCGGCCCGGGGGCCTGGCCTGCAGGTCTCTGAAAAACATACCAAGATGTACAACATCTGAAAGTAGATTGAAAGGTTTGGATCTTTTGAATATTCATAGGCATTTGACGACAAGCAAGGATGAGATAATTGAAAAATTAGCTCAATCACAACGAAGATTGGATTTTACATTGTAAATGTATAACATACAAAATGCAATCTAAGAAACTTTTTGTGTAAAGGCTCAAAAAATTCAAATTTCTATTTTGGGTCATTTAAGTGATTCTTTACATATAATTTTTTTATAATTCACATTAATTTAAAATTGTGTATTAGAAATAGTTATTAGTCCTAATAAATTTATGCTTGATATTTAAAAAAAAACAATAATATTTCTTTAAAAAATTTAATTATCCCCCCCCCCCAGACCAAATTCCTGCGTAAGCGCCAGCGACTATTAATCTTAAATAAATAAAAATAGTGTAAATAATACCGGAGATTTCATGCCAATTTATTGGCATTTCGATAATTATAATTTTCAATCTCTTTGCTATGTATATTAATTCAACGTCAAAAGCCCTAAATAATATATAAAATTTAATAAAATGAGTAAGTTGATACCATCTTTCAATGTGAAGATTGGAAAAGAGTAAAATCGCACAAGTTCGATTCATTAATTTAAACCCACATTGAGTGTCCTTGATTCCGCTTATTCCACCGATAATACTTACACTATACTGAAATCCGAGCATCAAAATATTTCTTAAAAATGATCTCTGTAAAAAAATATATATTGTTTATATTTTGTCAGAAATGGTGGCGTAATTTATATATAAAAAATATAAATCTAATGAAATCATTTTTTAATTAATTTTATGTTATTTTTGAACTTTTTCAATCTTAGTTATTTTTCTTTTTTGCTAATAATCTTCGATTCCTTTAATTAATAATTTTTTTCTTTTGGTCATCTTCTTTAAATTTTTTATCATTCTTTTCCCTTTTTGATCTTATAATAAATTCTCCTTATATAAATATTGTAACAGGGTTGTGAGCATATGCTTTTAAAAATGAATGCATCATTAATTACAATTACTCACAAGATTTAAATACTTTTCTAAAAAAAAATTAAATAATTTGAATTCTGTTTTTTAATTTAATAGTTTTGACGGTATCATTTCGATACGGAAAACTTGGCGATATAACAACGCGGATCTAATTGAGCTGCATTTATTTTAAAATCTTCATTAATAATATTAAAAAAAATAGAATTTTTATGGCTCATATCAAATTAACGGCGTGTTGATGATTGAAAGTTGACCCTAGGACAAAAATACCCTAATTTTAAGTGTTTAGATGGGGAGAAAGTTTTAAAAAAATATATCATTCTTTTCCCAGGTAAGTTTCATTCTTTACTAAAAAGCTGAGGTAATGATACGCAGCCGTTGGGCATCTTTACAAAAATTTATATAAAAAATCAAGCACATATATAAAGTACTGGGGAAAATTTAGATTTTAGCTAAATGTATTTCTACGCGGTTCATAGCAAGGCCTGTAAGTCTAAGCACAAATGTAGATTATGAAAAATATTTGCGAAGCAGCCAATAAATATCTTATTCTATACCGAAGTCGCAGTTCAGGCTAAGATCTGATAAATATCGTGGACGGCGTTAGAAGTTAGCTATGTAACAAAAATAAGGGTAGGTGTTTTGTTTATATTAAATGAGGAGAAATACTAATTTTATATAGATATCAAACCTACAATCGAAAATCTAATAAATAGGGCTGCTCAGAGCAGCCAATATGTATCAGTTAGTTTTGTTGTGATGTCTGAAAACTTAATCTCAATAATTACGTTTGTTATTTTATTGTGCGAAAAATAATCTCTTGAATAGTTACATTTATTATTATAATTTTATTTTCGGTAGTTCATTTACATTTATTATATTATGTAATTTATATGCGAATTATAAGATTTATTATTCAAAAACGTTTTAAGTTTTAACAGAATTGTTACAAATACTTTTCAAATGGATCTATATACAGATACATCGTCTAAGTATCTAGATATAAATACACTTTTTATTATACTTATGTAAGGTGATAATACTTAATAATGATACTATGTTAAAATTCAAATTTCGAATGGAGATAAAAAAAAATTATTTAGCTAATATCACATCTATATACAAAATATATAATTAAAATGATTGTCAGATTTTGATAATATAAATACAGAATATATTATTAAATGATTATAAATAATTGCTAGATTAATAATAAAACATTCACAAAATTTTTATCATTAAGGTACCCTGTTTATCTGTAAAGGCATTTTTAGTCACAGTAAACTTACCGTGGCACTTGATGGTAGACTGGTCATTGTATTTAATGAATAGCAACTTTATATTGGGATATATTAAATATATAAAATCCCGACTCATTTTTAAAAAATCATACAAAGTTTGATGAGCATCATAACTTATATCATATCATGTCATCTAAAGGGTGCCCATGATTTCTTTTCATAGATTGTCTAGAAATAATGATTTAAAAATTATAATATATATTTTTTTAATTATTATAAATAAAATAAATCATAATATAAAATTTACCGTTATCGTTATCCATTGCATAAAATAACATTGGCTGATTTGTTTTTGTAATGAAACAAACTCGGATATATTATTAAATGAATTAAATTCAAATATTATTATTTTAATTTTAAAAAAAGTAAAAATAAAATTATATCCAAATGGGTATAGATACAGATACCTCTAAAATATTATTTATATATAAATACCATTTTAGTATCTAGGTACTTTAACAACTCTAATTCTTAGTTTATATAAAGAATGATTAAATTTGTTAGAAAGCACCTTTTTACTTTTTATTTCTTTTATAATTTTGTCATTTAATTTGATTACGATTTTTAATTATAATTTTTCTATCTTAAATTTTGTTTATAAATTGAATATTTAATAAAGTTAATAATTCTTATTTTATTATGATTATTTATTAACGTAATATTTTATATCCTTAATTCTTTTATCTTAAATTTTATGATTTAATAATTAATCATCACATTTTTACTTTCTTTGGTACTATTTTTATCCGAACTAAGATGTTCAAGCTAAGGCTTAATACCAGCTCGTGAACCGCGTTAGAGATTTGCATGGGTTAGTATTTGTATTAGATAAGGAAAAATAATAATTTTTTTTAAACACAAAACCCACTACTCGGTAAAATTTAACATATTAATACCTAAAAAACCGTGTAATTCCCATTTCAATTTAAAATATTTATTAAAATAGGAGTATTTTTATTCGGTGTCTGGTGTATTTATGTACAGTGAGATTTTGTCCGGGGCATTTTAGTCATGGTATTTTTGTCCAGGAAATTAATACCCAGAGTTCATTGATTAAGACCAATGTTCAATCATCAACACACCCTTTAATTTGATATATGCCATATAAATCCATTTATTATTATATTAATAAAATGATGATTTTAAAATAAACCATAGCTTAATTAGACCCGTGCCCAATATTGTCTATCCAAATTGTCGTTCCGTTGATTTTTCGTGGCGCATAATTGTTTTTATGCCTATTTGTGGCCACGTAGAGTTTTCCGTACCGAATTGACATGTAGTAACCAGTTTTGACTGCTGTTAACGTCTTTAAAAAGAGAATTCATTCGCGTTTGTTGATAATTAGCAAAAATATTGTGGCTGCATAGATCCACAATTTTTACCCATCAATCCAATTTTATAATATATATCCATTACTTATTATAAATCAATGATTTATCAATCAAAAATATTACTTTTAGATTCATATATATAAATTATAACTAATCATTATAATATATTTTAATGACTTATATTATGGTAGTTAAATTATAGATTTATACTTTAAAAAGTATATAAGATGAGTAAAGTATGCATAAAAAATAACGATTAGTATGTTAGCTGAATACAAAATCAGATATGATATAGAATCGGTAACCGGCCGATATCAATTTAATATCGAATAGGCCTCCAAAAAGTGGTATCGATACACCACTAGTTTCATAAGGTTTAAAGTATTCTAATATTATTTTGCAGGGCTGAGAACCCGAACCCAAACTCAAACCCTTTTTTTAAATTAAGGGTCCAAGCTTTTTTTTAAAAAAAATTTTTTAATCGTGGAAGTTTTAATAACGATATTTTAGAAGATATTATGATAATTCGCCTAAATAAAATTTTTAAAATAGAAATATAATATTATTTTTTAATTGTATCGTAGATATATATCATATATATTTTAACTATAATGATAAATTATTTTAATGGCAATACTAATTAAAATAAATTTTTAAAAAATTCATGTTACTGCTATTTTAACTAATTTTATAAGTCATTATTTTTCTGGTCAACGAGCCCTGAACCCAAACTGGGTTCAGAGATTTTTCACTGAAAACCCAAATGGGTTTACAGCCCTGTTATTTTGTAAATATTTTATGTTTGAAAAATAAATATATAAAGTATAGAGTAATTTTTATTAAAATTTAATTTTCATTTTATTTCCTTTTCCCTCAAGAGGAATAAAGGCCAGGCCCGATTCTAGCTCCACCCATTTGGGGGCAGACAAAAATTTTACAGAAGCAGTTATGGTTTTTTTAACACCATATAACAAATATTTGAGTTATTTGAACACAAAATTGATAATATAATGATTTTATTTGAAAAATAACATCTAAAAATATAATTATGATCAAATTCAAATGTTTATAAAATTTGATGGAAGATGAGAATTGGCTTGTAGTTGAAAATAAATAAGTTGATTTAATGATTATACATATATTATTTAATAAAGTTGATATAGTTTAATTGTGCTTGCAATAATACTTGTTAGGGTATCAATTATTGAATGTAAAGAAAATTATTTATAACAATTGATATTATGATCAATGATTAAACAGTGTAAAAACTAATAGAAATAAAGCATTAACAATATAATTTTGGTTAAAATGTAGTTTTAAATGCTTTAAAAAAAATCCAAAATTAATAGTTTCAGTTATGTTCTTTTCATGTCCTAGTAAAATCCCTTCTTATATCACTACTTGAAAGCCTATCTGACTTGATATCTCTTCAATAATGAAAATGTTGGCTTATAACTCGATGTAAATAATAAACTGATACTAGAGATCTGCAAAGTTAGGCCCGGCCCGTACCCGGCCCGAAAGGGCTTCGGGCCGGGCTCGAGCCTAATTCTATTTAAAATAATCGGGTTCGGACCGGGCCGGGCCTAATATTTTTAAAAAAATTTGGGCCAGGTCGGGTCGGACCTTGGAAATTTTATTAAATATATCTAAATTTATAAATTTTATATTGAATTTTTTATGTAAAATAAAAAATTTTGATTTCATTTATTGAAACTAAACGCTATATAACATATGTCTTTTATTTTAAGTAATTATAAAAATTAATTTCTATATTTATATAAATTCGGGCCTGGCCGGGCCGGTAAATTTTTTTAAAATAAATTTCGGGTTCGGGCCTGGCCGGCAAAACTTTTTTAAAAAAAATTTCGGGCCGGGCTGGAAAAATTAGGCCCGATGCAGATCACTAACTGATACAGTATATTTTAAAAGCATTTGGCATTTTTGTATGGGTATAGAAATTTAATAAAAATCTGATGTAACCAGTGGTATTGCTTAGAAATATGATAAAGGGGGGGGGGCTACGATTTTTTATATATTTACAAAAAATATGATATATAAAATCGACCTTTTTAAT